GGGACTCCGATGCCTGGGACTCCAACGCCTGGGACTCCAACACCTGGGACTCCAACACCTGGGACTCCAACACCTGGGACTCCAACACCTGGGACTCCCACACCTGGGACTCCGACTCCTGGGACTCCCACACCTGGGACTCCGATTCCTGGGACTCTGACTCCTGGGACTCCGACTCCTGGGACCCCAACTCCTGGGACCCCGACTCCTGGGACCCCGACTCCTGGGACCCCAGCTACTCCCGGGACCAAGGCTCCAGGAGCTCCTGTAGAAGGAAAACGATTGTTTTGTCCTGAACCCTATGGGAACCTCAGAAGGACAGTGGTTCAGGGAAGCTACAAGAGTGACAATTGGTCCTGAGTGCAGGATTCCAGGTGAGGTAGCGTTTCCTTTGCATGGATCCAACTCATCAGAGAGATAGAAGGGACTTAGGGAGTCCCTAAAGAGCTCAAAGGGGTTGGACCTGTGGGCTGGGAAGAACATGGTCTGTTTCTAAAGCCAAGTCAGATTCTCGCCACTGGGTTCCCAGGCAGTCAATGCAGCAGATGCCTGTGGCTGGCCCTGGGGAGGATGAAGTGGGGGAGACAGGTGCTCCACAGAGTCCCCCTCCCTCTGCTGAGTTTATCAGTGGGAGATAGCATCCAGGTAGAGTGACCAGATGGGCAAGACATGGAGGTACGAGCAGTGTGTGTTTGGGGAGGGGGTAGGGAGGCCTCCGTAGATGGACGAAGGCCCAGTCCACCAGCTTGTAGGATTGGGGTTCCCAAGGCCCATGCAGAGTCCAGGGCAGCCCTGAGCCCTGAGCCTGCCACCCAGGGGCACTCACCATACTTGGCTGCCTTCGCAGCAGCAGCAGCAGCAGCAGCAGCAGCAGCCGCAGCTGGAGTCGCGGCCCCTGGAAAGACCGCCACAGAGGGTGGGTCCTTTCCCCATGGCCTTCTCAAGGACAACCCCACTCCCTGGGGAGCTGACACTACCTGCAATGCCTCCAATCCCAGGAATTGCACCAGGAACTGCACCAGGAATTGCACCAGGAACTGCGCCAGGAATTGCACCAGGAATGCCAGCCCCTCCAACACCAGGGAGGACTCCTCCAGCACCTGTGGGGTGGGGACAGATCGATGTGGCTTCCCAGGACCTCTCCTGAGGCCTGGCAGGAAGTCCACTTAGATGCCGGCATTTTAACCAGTGCAGGCTCCATCCGGGAGTGAGGCCCAGGCGTCTCCGGCTGGGCCTGCTTGGGAAGGCCCCCACCCCGCTGTTCCTTGACTCACCCCCAAAGTGTCCATTTCAACACACTCATTAAGGGACTTGTATGTTTTCAGACAAATCCCATTCTAATCGCCGCCACATACTGCGAAACCACAAGTGGCGCTCCCCGGGCCAGAGGGGCCCCTGCAGGAATGTTCAAGGCTTCCTCTCCCTGCGTTCCGAAGACTCCGCCAAGTTTGTGTTTGTAATCCCAGCGCCGGCCGCCTGGCTCTGGCAGCCCCTCGCAGCCTGCTCTCCTGCCCCCACATTCCAGCCTTCCCCACCAGCCAAGGAGCCTCGGGCGCCTGCAGGGAGGGCCTGTGGGGCCTCCGTGGGTCAGGCCCCGGCTCAGTCTTCTCCCCACACTCTTGCCCCGTGGGCTGGGCTGGGCTGGGCTCAGGGTGGGCACAGGAAGGGCTTCCCGGGCCTGGGGTCTGACCCTGAGCTCCCTCTGCCCACTGCACGGGCATAGTAAGAAGACCCTGTTGCATGTGCAGCAGCGCTGCCCAAGGAACCATGGGCTTGAAGAGCGAGGTAACATTTTTATAGTGTACATTAAATTGATACGTACCTATTAATTTTTTAAAATGCTTGTATATATACCACCCCAAATTATCTTTCTAACCACCGTGGTATTCACTCCTTCTGCTCAAGCCCCTCCTTTCTGTTTTAACCACATGGCCAGTCCACCTGATCAAATGTCACTTTCTCTGGGAAGCCTTCCTGATTTTCCCCAGGTAGAAATAATGCCTCTGTCTGCTCCACTCCCACCACAGAGCCTCCAGTCTCCAGCAGAGCTCATCTGTCCCCAATCTCTGACGTGAATGGGTGGAAGAAAGGAGCAAGGGAGGGAAGAGGGACAGAGAGAGGGACTGATGGGTTCATGGGTGGATGAAGAATTGGGGGAGGGAAGGAGAGAGGGATAGATGAATGGATGGAGGAACAGAGGGAGGGATGGATGGATGAACGGATGGATGGAGGGATGGGGGAGCGAGGGATGGGGGAGGGAAGGAAAGAGAGAGGGCTAGATGGCTGGTAATGCTGAGCAGGTTGGATAAATGGGGAGGCAGGGGCCACCTTGGTCAGTTATGTGTGAAGCAGGCTCTCAGTGTCACAGGGATGGGGAGGCTGGGCTGGGTGGGGGCTTGCAGGCGGGGGCTCCAGAGGCACTCACCATACTTCGCTGCTTTAGCTGCTGCTGCTGCTGCAGCAGCCTGGGGACCAACTCCTGGGGGAGGGGAAAGAGGAGGGGTGAGACTGAAACCGGTGCTCCTGCACCTCCAGAGCCCGCCTGCTCCAGTTCTCTGACACACGGGTGTGGATGGGGGCTTCACAGCAGGTAGAGGCTGACAGAGCCATCCCACCTCAGTCCTTCCCCAGGTTCAGACCACAGTCTGGATACAGGGGGGCTGGTCTACTTTCTGAGCCTGGGTGGCCCTGGCTGGAAGTGGGGTGAGCCTTTCCTTACCTGTCCCTGTTGGGTAGCCGGCCTTGCCCGCAGCACCAGCCACTCCTCCGGGCCCAAAGCCTGCAGAATGGAGGGGCCTGGCGGTCACCCATGTGGACTTCCCCACTTCTGCCCCCTGCCCTTCAGGGCCGGGTGTCCTGAGTCTCCACCCTGTCACCCCCAGCCAGAGTGAGAACAAATGCAAACATGTGTGTGGGACTGTCATTCCCATTGTACAGATGAGGACACTGAGACTGAGAGAAGAAAAATGGCTCAACAAGTCCGCGTGGTAAGTGGGAGGGCCAGGCTGTCTGAGTCCAAGTTCCAGCTCTTTCATTTGGGGACTTCCATTCCAAGACCCCACCCCTCCCCCAGCTAGGTGCTCTCCTAGCCCAGGGCTGGACCACAGCACCCTTGCCGGGACCTGGAGCTGGAAAGAGCTGGAGGTCCACAAGTCTAGGAGGCCCCACTCACCGTAGGGCAGTTTCCCGGTGCTGTAGGGCAGTCCGTAGCCGCCTGAGGAGAGGGCAGGGCGAGCTCAGGGGCTGCTATGGGGCTGCAGAGGCCCTAGGTGGGAGGCGGGGAGGGAGGACACCCCTGCCCCAGCGCCTGATGACACACCCATCCCCCTGCAAATCCAGGCCCCACTGTGGCCTTAGAGTCTGAGTATATTTTTTCTGTTTCCTCCCCAATGGGAAGCATCTCACTGTCTGAGCTGGCTGTGGAGGTAAGGGTGGGGGTGCCGGTGGGTTGATGTCAGAGGGGTCTTTCCAATGAATGGCATTTCTCACCATCAAGACAAGTGTCTTCCCATCAGGCCTACGGGTCTCTGTGCACGTGTGTGTGTATGTGTGTTTGCTTGTGTGTGCATGCCAGTGAGTCTGCATCTGTGAGACTGACATCCCCACACTTTCCGTGGCTGGTGACCAGAAGTGGGCTTCAATACCCAGGTTTCCCACCCTTGACCCCCTCAGGCTGCCTTCTCAGCCTCTTAAATCCTCCCTCTGACTTACCTGGCAGCTTGGGTGCCTTGATGGGGTACCCCAGTGGGACTCCAGGCTGCTGGCCCCCAAAGGGTCCAACCCCTATGGGAACAAAGAGAGCACTATCAGTTTCCAGTTCCTTGGGCCAGCAGCCACCTCTACACCCTCAGCCTCACGCCCCACTTCCTGCTCAGACAGAAGGAGCTCCCCACTGCACCAGAGACCATCCTGCCTAGGGGTCTTCCCTGTCTCCTCCTGACCCCCGACCCCAGTGACCAGCCACTTCTTTCAGGAACCTGCAGGACTCTCTCCCTCCTAGAGGCTTGCAGCCCTGGCACAGACTGGTGGGTTTTCTGGGCTTGTCTGGGCTGCTACACAGATGGGGATTGGGGTGGAGGAGCAGGCCTGAATTGGTGCTACTTGGTGCTGAAGCCTGTCCAAGGCCTGGAGCAGAAGGCAGGAGGGAGATTGGGCAGGCCTGGGTGGGGTTCTGGGTGCCCAGCCCCTCCTAGGGCAAGAGCCCCTGCCAGGCTGGCCACCCTGCAGACCCTCCCACCCACCTGGGAGGGCCAGCCTTGCCTCACCTGGGATTCCGGCAAAAGCTCCACCTCCACCTGCGATGAAAAAGAGCTGTCACTGCAGTCCTGGCAGCATGGGCCCAGGGCACAGAGGTGCCACGGTCTGGTGCCAGGCAGCACCGAGGGGCGGGCAGGCCCGAGCAGCGGCCAGTTCTGCCCAGACCACCGGCTCCTGCAGCCCTCCCACACACTCTGGGATTTCTGAGCAGTGCCCTGCCTGTCTCAACCAGCTGTACCAGAGCTGGAGCACAAGAGGTGCCCACCCAGAAGGTCCCAAGCCAGCCCAGCATCCCAACCCCTAATCTACACCCAAGGCCAAAGGGATCTGCAGGTGGGGAGAGAGCCCCCCCCACGGCCCCCAGCCCAGCTGGCTGCATACCTGGGACCTTGGGCTTGACTCCTGCTCCAGTGGGAACCCCAGGGAGCACCCCCACACCAGGGAACCGAGCTCCTAAGTGGGCAGAGAGGGATCCGGCAGTGAGGGAGTGAGGTGGCCCTGGCAGGCCCAGCTTGGCTCCCTTCCTCGGGTCCCGCAGCTGATCTCAGTACTGACTGTCAGAGACAGGTACGGCCCAGAGGGTGGGCAGAGAAAGACCTGTTTGGTGATGACTTTCCTCCCTGCCTGGCCCAAGGTCAGAAGATCTGAGTTTTAATCCTATTTGCCGGCCTCGTGAGCTGGTGCCCCAGTTGGCCTCATCTTTGAACTGGATTTAATCACAAACGCTGTCCTGACCACCCTCGGCAGACAGGGCAAGGGGGTAAGCTCAAGTGTGCAGTGGGCCATGCCTGCAGGCCAGGGAGCCTGTGCCCTGGGCTCTCACGGTACAGCTCACAACGTGGCCCCCAGGCAGCCATCCAGCTGCAGCCGGGAGCCCATCTGCCAGAGCCTCCTGCATTCAGGCCTCCCCTGGGGCTGGGTGCCTGGGCTGGGCGTGGCAGGGGGAGGGAGGGCCCTTCTGTCAGCAAGCCCTGCAGAGCAGCCTTGATCTGGGCTTTTGGGGGAATTCTGGAGGTCACATGTTGGGTGGGGTGGGCAGGTCCTGGCAGGGAAAGGAGGGTGAAGGGGCAGCTCTTAGGGGTCTCCTGCAGGGTGGACTTGTTGGGCGGGCCCCCTGGTGACTCACAGCTTTTGGGAAACAGCTGGCCACACTGGGGATTCAGTCTGTCCATGGGGACCCGCCTCAGGCTGTGATGATGGTCTGGGCCTGGGGTCAGGGTTTGGGTGGGGCCGGGGCAAGCTGACTAACCCTGGGGGGAAAGACGCCAGGGACCTTAGGTCCATTAGCCTGAACTCTGACACTGAGGGAAACAGCACTGGGCAGGACCCAAGGCCTCTGGTGGCCTCTGCTTGGGGGGTGGGGGGAAGAGAGGGGGCACCAGGAAGGCTGATGGGGCTGCTTTTCTTCCTATAGGGCCCCTTCTCCTCCTCGCCCTCACCTGTGCCTGGGAGCACTCCACCTGGATATACTCCTGGGAGCCCCACACCTGCGGCCAAAAGAAGAAGGAGGCACCATGAGCAGCAGCTCAGCCTCCAGGGACCCCTCCCCAGCCTTTCCCACACCGGCAGCTCCACGGATCCTGAACCAGCAGCCCCTGTGCCCGACGGGGACAGCCAGGGACAGACGGGTGGCCGCAGCCTTCCTCCCACAAGTTTCGGAAGTCCTCTGCAAACCCTTCTTCTGTGTGTGGATTTATCTCCATCTCCTGGAGCCTGTTTACACAGCCGGGCCAGCCCACCTCTGGCTAACAGCTTCCAGATGTCCCCTCCCTGCTGTGTGGACTCAGGCAGCCTTTTGTTTAACCCAAAGTCACTTCCTAAAGGGCTTGGCACAGCCGAATGAGCACCAGATGGGCTGGGCTCCCCGCAGCTCCGCCATGATCAGCCACAGGCCCTTCCACACTGACTTGCCATTCTGAGCCTCAGTTTCCCCATTTGTCTTCCAACAGCCTGCCACAGAGCCTGTCTCTGAGGTCTCTTTCTGCTCCAAGATCCTGGGAGAAGGGCCTGGAAGGTAAGCCAGGTTCCCCCATTTTACAGACGCAGGACCATGTCTGGGTCTGGCTAGTGGCCCTGCCCGCTGCAGCCAGGTCCGCCCTTCCTTCCCCAGTCTGACCTCTCTGACCTCTGCCCTCCAGCCCCAGGGATTCCACACTGACCGGGCACTTTTCCAGGTTTTGCTCCAGCTCCAACTCCAACTCCCGCACCAGGCACCACCACACCTACTACGGAAGGGGCCTCATCAGAGTTAGCTACCCCTGGGCCTGCAGCCTTCACCTAGGGAGCTCAGGTCAAGCACCATACCTGGAGGCACTCCTAAGCCGTCGACTGCACGGACACCACCAACACCAACGCCACCAACACCTATAGAGCCAGCAGTTAAAGAGGTGAGGGATCATATCAGGAACAGTGGAAGGAGGAAGGTCCCTGGACTGCACATTGAGGTCTGGCCCTGCCACCAGCTCCCTTTGAGAATGGGCACAGCTAGCTGCCTCCCAAGCCTCACAAACATCTTAGCAAGGAGGCTCCTGGACTGCAGGGCAGGCTGGACAGAAGGACAGACAGATGGTGGGGGACAGAGGGGAGATGAGCATCTTGCCCACCTGCCTCCCAGGCCTAGGGGAGGGAAGGTTCTTTGCAAGGAGGAGAACACATGGAAGCCAGAGGGCTTATGGCATGTCCCAAAGAGTGCCACTCACCGGCCTTGGCAGCTTTGTAGGCTGCAGCGGCACCGGCAACTCCACCAGGCACCACAGCACCTGGGAAGGCTCCTGCAGGGAAGGCACCGAGCCCTGCAGAGGGGAGGACACGGTGAAGTCCTGAGCCTCCGCACCTGTGGAGGCTCCTATGTCCCAGCCCCACCTCACCCTGCCCCACTCGAGAAGCACATTCAAGGCTCCTCTGCTCTTTGCAGGACTCCAGTGCCAAGCAGCGACTGCTGCCCACCAGAACAAGAGTCAGCGTTGGAGGTTAATGTACCAGACCACTCTGCTCAGCCTGACAAAACCGCACATGTCTTTTGGTGTCAAACTTTGACACCCACCTCCTCCAGGATGCCTTCCTGGGCCCTGGCTGAGCTGAGTGACTCCTCTGAGCTCCTTTGGCCCCTGGAACTTGCTGCCCCCAGCCCTCATCACTACATTGTAACTGTACTCAGTTACTCAGCTGTGATTCCCTCATGCTTGGGGCAGCTGTTTGGGGCAAGTGTTAGAGTCCCCTATCAGTGCCCAGATAGAATCTGACCTGTACCCCTGTATTCCGACTGCCCTCCACACCAAGCAGATGCTTGGGTTGGGCTCAGGGATTGGGAGTCAGCACTAACCTGCCCCAGGGACAACGCCTGCGAGCCCTCCAGGACCTGCAGGGAGGAGACAGAAAACAGGTGAGGAGAGGCTGTGGTGTGGGCATCATTCCTGGGCCCAGGGTGAGAAGGGTCTCATGGAGCGGGGGCAGGAACCTGGCAGTGCTGGGATCAGCGTGCAGCCACTTGGGTCCCTCAGACTTTGGCACTCAGGGGCATCGATCTTGATAAAATAGCAGCCACTGTTTAGTGACCAACTACTACGTGTGGTGCCGTGTAGACGTGATTGCGCTGACACTCCTTAACAAGACTTGGCCAGGCCTGGATTTCTTCTAGAAGGTCTGCCAGCTAACAGGATCCAGCAGGGCTTTCTGTGAGCGCTGGAGCTGAGCAGAGTCTGTGAGCAAGACCTCACCCAAGCCAGGCCCTGCCCTGATCCCACCCTAGTCACTGCCACCACCCCAGGCCTCTGCTCTGCTTCCTGAAAATGTCCCCTGACTCAGCCTCTCCCCTTCACTTGTTTCTGGGAGCCCCTCTGTTCCCCACCATCTGTCTGTCCTTCTGTCCAGCCTGCCCTGCAGTCCAGGAGCCTCTTTGGTAAGATGTTTATGAGACACCAAATGGGTCCCTCTGGCTTCTACCTCTAGGCCCAATTGCTCCTTCTCCCCCTCCAAGACACATTCCTTGGCCTCGGCCAGGACCGATGGGCAATCAGGTTGGAGTTCACACCATGCCAGTTTGTTTCCAGTTACATGAGACTCACTCCTGCAAACACCAGTCCTGGCTGCTGGGGTCCCGAGGCCCAAGGATGAGCTCTCTCCAGGGACCAACCCCAAACATGGGGCCTGCTGAGCCCCGGAGGGGTCTACCTGAAAGTGATCTCCTCCCTCACCATCCCTCCCCGCTCATCTCCTACTTCTGTGGCCTGGACCTGGCTGAAGCTCAGTCAACCCTTCTGCTGGATGGGGCTCTCACTCCAGGCAGGCGGGAGTGGTATGGTGGTCAGGAGGGCCTGGGCCCTGCTGGTGCACTTCCCAACACTACAGGTCCTGCCACTCCCCAGTCTGTCAGCAGCTTCTCTCAAGCCAGGCCTGTTTCCTGAGCTCCGAGAGGGTAGGGGACACACTCAAACCTTTCCTGAAGCTGGGGACTGAACAGGAAGCAAGAAGGCGCTGGGGCAGGGCCTGAGGGGAGCCCTTCTGCAGTCATCTGCCCTTTTCTCAGGGTCCCACCTTCTGGCATGACCAGTTCCTCCCCCAACCCCCTTGCCCTCCTTTCTTTTGGCTCACCTGCTCCAAATGCCCCGAGGGCTCCAGCACCTGCAAAGGAGGAGAAAGCAGGGAGAAGCTGACCACAGCTGGGAGTCTGGGAACCCAGCCAGCCCAACCCTCTTTCTTTCTGGAGTCAGAGTTCTGGATTCAGATCCCGCTGCCCCGACCCACTCTCTGTGTGTATGAGCAAGTCATTTCACCTCTCTGAGTCTCAGTTTCCCCATATACAAAGTGGCCATTACATCCCCCGCCATCCGGGGACCAGTGAGCAGAAAGCACCTGGTGTGTGCAACTTGCCAGGGCACCTGGTGGGTGCTCCCCGGCTCCTTCTGGTCCTTGCTTGCGTGCCTCGTGGTGGGAGGGTGGCCTCCAGCTAGTGCTCAGGGTGTGGGTAGTACAGGCTCCCAGCTGCCTGGTCCCCCGCTGAGAGCTGAGGCAGGGTGGGGCCAGTCCCAGAGCCAGCTAGCCTGCCCACTGCTGGCGCCCACATGGAGGCGCAGCTGCCAGGCCACCCACCCTCCATCACCAAGGGATTAATTGTTCCCGAGCACACACACGCTCCCTGTGCCCCAGTCCATCCTGCATGGACAGGCCCGGATGGCCCCCTGGCCCGGATGTGGGGAGCTTCCCTGGGGGTGCCACTGTGGCTCTGCCAAGGCCTTTGTAGCCCTGAGTCCTGAGGCTGAAAGATGACCTCACAGGGGTCATAGAATCTGGCCCCCTGCCTGGGGACAGTGACCTTTTCCTCCGGAGGAGATGCCCTGACTTTCCTTTTGGTCTAAGTCTTCACCCTGAGCTGGAAGTTCTTTCAGAAGACTAGCCTAAATCTTTCATTAATAAAAGCTTCACTTAAGCAGCCAAACTTCATGGGACTCTATTAAATTGTCTCAGTCTTCCCTCCAGTGTTTAATCACAACCTGCCATGTGTTCCCTGCTGCCAGTAGGATCAATCAATGCACCCTCTAGCTATGCAGTCATGACCTCCATGACTGGGGTCTTCTGGGCCAGCACATTCCTGCCTCCATACCTTCTCTTGTCTAGCCCTCCCTGTATTCTCTCCACCATCAAAGACCCCACCGAGATCCCTCACCCTCCAGGAAGACAGGATGCAGGTTCTGCTAGGGAGAAGCAGTAAGCCCCAAGGTCTCCTTGCCTCGCAGACCCTTGCAGACCCCAGCAACCCCATGGCCTGGGCACCCTGCCTCCGCCTCCCTTGCCTGGCCCCAGTCCTGGAGTTTCACAACCCAGATGGGCTTTCAGTGGAGGGATCTGGGTCTTGCAGATTCATTTGCACTTGGATCATTGACCATCAGGATTTCGTAAGAGCTGTTGGACATCCAAACTGTGTCCTAGAGCCTCGGGCCTCAGAGCCAGGCGACACAGTGCAGGGTGGGGACACGCCAAGGCCACATGTGGAGCATCTCATGCCGAGAGGCCTTAAGTCCAGACAGAGATGCCGTTTCCTCCACCTGCTCCTTATCTACCAGTGTCTGCTGAAGGGATCCACTTCCTCTCCTTCCTGGGGTGCATATCCTGGAGCTGATAGTAAACCCCGGTGGCAGATCCCAGCCCCATGGGTGAGGCCAGTATAGATCCAGCCACACCTTCTTCCTGGAAAACTCCATGGTCTGAACACAGCTGGAAGAGCCTGGGATCAGAAAGGGAACTCATCTGGGGCCAGGATCAGTACTCAGCCTGGGGTTAAGCTCAAGGCTTAGTCTGGGGTCTGGGTTCAGCCTGGGACCAGTGCTCAGTCTGGGATCTGGATAAAGGCTCAGACTGGCATCAAGGTCAGGGCTATCTGGGGTCTTAGCCTGGGCTTAGGCTCTGTGTCTCAGCCCCAGAGTGCTGTTTTCCAGGCTTGGTGGCCACTAGAACATTAATCACTACCTTAGCTTCCAGCAGCAGGGCTGTTTCTGAGACCCTGTGCAGAGGGGAGTCTCCAGGCAGCTGGGCACATAGGCACTTGCAAGGTAGATGCTGGACTCTCCTCACAAATGGGGGACATTGAGCTGCCTCCAGCCTCCTGTTACTTGAGGGCCTGGTGCCCGGCCGGGCCTGCTGATCCCCAGGGAGCGGCCCACACCTCCCTCTCTCCTCCCGCCTCTTGGCTCCCTTGCCTGGTTCACAGATCTGCAGGCCCTTCCCTCCCAGGGCCCTTTGCCCTCTCTCAGCACCCTGAGGCCTCGGGTCTTACCTGGCTGGGCTCTTACCTGTCTTGAGTGGTTTGCCTCCAGGCCCCAGTGCTGCAGAGGAGAGAGATGGAAGTGAATAGGGAGCCCAGCCCACCTGTCCTATCAATTATACACCCCCGCCCGCCCAGGCAGAGCAAAGGCATCTGAGGTTTCCTGCCCCAGGTCCTAAAGGGCTGTCAGGGTGGGTCCTTCCCCCACACTCAGAGCTGCTGGGAGCTCTGCTGTGCCCTGATTTGTGGTTTATGCTCTCTGAGCCCCAGTTTCCCAACCTCAAAAGGGAACGATGATATCCACGCAGCTGGTTTGGAGGGATATTTTTGAGGAACAAAAGAAATATAAAGAATTCAGGGGCCCAGAGAAAGAGCCTAGGGGGAGGGGCTCGGGAGGCCAGTGGGTGCTGGTGCTCAGACACCTCCCTTGCCCCTGGATGCTCAATCTGTAAGGGACACTTGATTCTTGGGCCTCTTGAGGTTCTCAGGTCTGAGGCTGTGTGTGGTTGGGTGACGACCAGACCCCTCCAGTGAGGAAGCAAGTTTGGTTTCCGAGCTCACCTCCTCCTCCCAGGGCTCCAAGACCAGCCCCTGTATTGAGACAGACAGACACAGAGAACCATCAGTGCCCCTGCAGACAGGCCACCCTTCTACCCATGGTCAAATCCATCACTGCCTAGCTCCGTGACCTTGGGCAAGTCTCAACCTCTGCGAGCCTCAGTTTCTTTGTCTGTTTCATTGGGCTAACAGCCCTGTGTCAGTTTGTGCCTGGGGGAGTGCTGGAAGATCCCACCATTTCCACGTTAGTTCTGAACACTCAAATACTTTATTTTCTTGGCAGCTGGACAGTATGGGGATCTGAAACCTTGACCTTGGTGTTATCAGCACCACACTCTATTGAGTGAGCCAACTGGCCAGCCCTCCGATACTTTTTAAGTACTGAAAATATTACTCTTGATTTTTCAATCTTCCTGAAAACATTATACTTTTTTTTTCTAAATTAAAAGAAAAAAATGACCCCCGATACTATTGTCCCAACATTCTTCCTAGTCTTTTTGGCGGGGGTGTGATTAGTAGTCTCCACATGCACATAGCAATTGCTTTTATTATTATCTTTACTTAAAAACATGTTGCCATTTTGCACAACAGGTGGCATATTCATACTTTGTCATAGCTGTCTAATGGTTCAGAGTTTACTTAATCGTGTAATCGAACCCTTCAGTCAGGTGGGTTTTTTGTTTTACAGTGTTTTGCAAATAATAGTCCTGTGACTTGTGGCAGATTGTTCTTCTTCTTTTTTTTTTTTTTCCCAATTACTTCCACTGAATGGGTTTCCAAGAGTGGGATTGATGGTTCAAGACTGTGAACCTTCTCACAGCAGGAGTGCGTGAGTGAAGACGCTAGCCTCACGACCTCGAGTTTCCTCTTTCAGAAAGTTTAGGCTCTTCACAGCTGTAAAACAGTGTCACATTAACTGCATTTTTTTTTCCTTTTTGTCTTTTTTCGTGACCGGCAACGGATCGCAACCCTCAGTGTCGCGCCCATACCGGACCGGGACCGGCAACGGGATCGCAACCCTCGGTGTTGCTCCCGCGCCTCGCTCAGCCAGTGAGCGGGAACCGGTCTGTATGTGGGATCCGAACCCTCGGCGGGAGCGCCGCCGCGCTTCCCAAGTGGCGCACTACAGCAGTGCGCCACCGGGCCGGCCCCGTAACTGCATTTTTAAGAGGGTCTGACTTGTGGGTCCTCGGCGGTAGGCGTGTCAAAATGTGCATCTCTTAGGAATATCATTATCAGCTGCCTTCCTGGGTGTGCGGAAGTTTCATGTACATTACCTGGATAAAAGGCTCCTCCGGGAACTCCACCAGGAACCGCCCCTGGGACCCCTGCAAGGAAGCAGGCAGAGTCTTCCATTAGCTAGAACTAACAAAAGCATGGTAACACTGGTGACGACGATGGTGACAATGATATTGCTTGTCCACAAAGCAGTTTCTGTTCACCAAGCCATTTCTGTTTACAAAGTGTTTTCTGATGTTCCTTAGAGTGGCCTGCAAGGTTGGAAGGGCAGGGCTTACTATCATTGCTTCAACAGATGTGAAAATCAGGCTTGGAGAGGTTAAGAGATATGCCTGGGGCCACACAGCTGGAAAGAGACGGAGCCTGCATTCAAACTCCAGCCTCTCCTCTGAGTGTGGTGGACTCCGGAGCCTGCGTTCAAACTCCAGCCTCTCCTCTGAGTGTGGTGGTTTGCATTGTGTTACCTGGTTCTCTTCGGAGGCGGTGCCTGCGGCCAGGGAGAGGGCCGGAGAGGGGCTGGGTCTGAGCGCCTCTCACAGGGCAGCTGACTGCGGCTCTGAGCAGTGGGGCTGGGGCCAGAGCCATGGAGGGCAGGCTGAGCTGCGACGGCAAGTGGTAAGGAAAAGCAGCCGCTGCCAGCAAACATGCAGCCATTCCCACACTGATAGGACGGCCTGAGGTCAGCGTCCTCAGCCACTGGGCAGCGGTGCTTGGGTGGGGCTCTGGCTGTCTGACACCGGGCTGTGTTAGGAGGCACTGGGGCTGGAGGGGTACACCATGAATGAGCACAATGAATAGTTTCCTAAGGAAAAGTGAGTTCACAGACCAGGGCAGGGGATGTCTGCCCAGGCCAAGATCACAAGTTCAGTACCCATGGACCAGTGAAGCTGTCACTGGGGAACACTGTGATGCTGGCCCCAGACCCAGGCCTGTGCCATCGTCACGGCCACAGGACAGAATGCCCCCAACCTTGACAAGCCGCCTGGACAATGCCTCAGCACAGCCTTGCACCATCTTGCTGAAAGGGACTGGGAATCTCGTGGGGCAGGGGCAGAGTTGGGGGACAGTGTCAGGCAGCTCTGCAGTGTGTCCAGGGAGGCTTTGAGCCAGACGTCTGGCCTCACAGCCTGGCAACACTGCAAAGCTGGGCTTGTCGGCCGCAGGGCCCTGTCAGCCTCACCACAGCCCAGCAGGCTTGGGGATGCAGAGCTGTCAGGGCCACCCCATGCCAAAGCTCTGGCGCCACCCCATCCCAGGGCTTGGGGCCCCCCAGGGACTGCAATCCAGGCCTGAAGTGTGCGAGCAATCTGGTCGGAGCCTGAGCAGGGCTCAGAGCAGTGGCCCCAGGGGCTGGGCCTGCTAGAAACGAGCACTGTGGCCTGTCATCTGCTGCCAAGTGCGCACATGGCTGCCTCAGGCCTTTGATGCTTCTCTGGCCCCGCCCTCCAGCTCTGAGCCCTGTCTCTTGTGCATCTTTCTCTGCCCCAGCCTCTCTCTTTCCGCCCCTTTCTCTCCCTCTCCCTCCTTCCTCACAGCCCTCTTTCCCCTCCTCTCCACTCTCCAGCTCCAGAGCAGACTGCAGGGAACATCGCAGTGAGTGGGAAGAGCAAGGCGGTCAGGGCAGACCCCTCTGGCTTCTAATCCTGGCATTGCTGCTTCCTACCATCTGTGTGGCCTTGGGCAAGTCATTCAGCCACTCTTAGCCTTAGTTTTCTTTTTTGCAATGTGGGGCTGATAATCGCTACCTAGCAAGTTTGCTGCAAGTTGTCAAAGGGTTCAAGTAAGGGGTCATGTTCTGTCCTGGACTTGGCACATGGTAGTTGGTAAAGAAAAAGAAATGATGGTGACCCTGTGTCTCCACTTTCTCCCACTTTAGTGCACATTATATACAGTAGGTGCTTAATAAACGAAGAGTGAGTTAGGTGGAGGGGAGGCAGGGGGCTGCCTGTGGGTCTGGGTCTGACATCTTTCATCCCCAGCTGCCCTGGGGGTCCTCCCGCCTTGGGCTTGCCGAGCCCTCTGGCCTGGCTGAACCTTGGCTTCCTCTGTCCTGGGGTCTGCTCCCCCACATCCCACCTGTGGCCTGGCCCCTTTGGGGAAGCACTCTGCTTCTCCTCTCCCCAACTCTTCTCTTCTCCCTGCCTCCCACCTCCATGACTCGGCTCCCAACGGTGTTTGCCAAACCCCATGCTGGGGCCACAACAACCTGCAGAGCTGGAGACTTTGATTCCTATTTTGCACCGAGGAAATGGAGAAGGCTGCATGGGTGCCAAGGATCCCTGCCTGTCCTGTTCAAGCGCGGAGGAGGTGAGAACAAAGTAAGACAGGAGTCGACAAAGGGCTTTGAAAAGGCGGCAGCTTCTCTCCAGGCTTCAGTGGGTAATCCTCCTTCCCACCTCCACTCCTTGGCACAAGCCGTTCCTCCTGCCAGGAGTGCCCTCACTTCCTCCAAGAGCTACTCTTCCACCAGGCTGAGCTCAAATCCTCCCTGCTGTTTCCTCTGAGCCCGCGACTCTCCCTGCCGTACAGCTCAGCTGGCCCAAAGTAGCTGGCCTAGAGCACGCCTGTCTTGTTTTATGTGGGTTTGGCTTGTTCCACTGACTGGCCCAGGGTGGAACTTGTCTCTTGCGTCTTAGAATCATAATCCTAGACTCTTTGGGATCATAATAATCTTCGGGCTGGGGCTGGAACTCCTTCTGCAAACATCCCTCATGCTCCTGCTTGCATACCTCGCGTGGCAGGAAGGCAGCAACTTCCAAGGCTGTCAGCTCTACTTGCAGAGAGATCTTCCCCCTACAAAGAGAGAATCTGCTCCTCTGTCTCTCTGATTCTCCCACCAGAGCCCCACAAACTGAGGCTCGCCTCTCATCCACTGATAGCCCCTCAAATATTGGCCCTTCTTTCAAGGTCTAACTCAAATATCACTTCTTCTGTGAAGCCTTCCTGGATTTCCTGGGGCTGCTCCGGGCCACCCCCTCCCCCAGTCCTTCTGCTTCCTGCATTGCTGCACATCTGTGTACACATCAGCCACCCCCAACCAGACAAAACATGGCATCAATAACGAGAGGGCAAATGAAAGCTTAGAAATGTGCACGAATTACAAGGATCGATCAATCTGAGTTAGCAAATTCTGAATAAGAGACTCTATCGTTTTAAAAATTAACATCCCTACAGTCCTCTTATATGATGCATTTTTTGCAGATATTACATTGTTGGAGCCTCCTACCGGAGGGATGGCTCTGTCTCCTCCTACACAGGGACACGTTCACCTCCTGCTGAAGCCGGCAGACACACAGAGTGGACTCAACCTCTAAACCAGAACGTGTCAGCTCTGGAGGCTCATCAGTCACCTGGGGAGCTTCAAAAAAGCATCCAGGTCCAGGCCCCTCCCCAGACCAAATCAAGCAGGAATTCTTGGGTGGGAACTCTAACACTTAGCCAGGGTTGAAAGCCCCAGTTTCAAATCATGTTCAGTTCTGAAATCAGGAGGAAAAAAAAAAAAAGAAAGAAAGAAAGAAAAGAAAAAGCTGATAATATTTCTGGAGGATGGGGAGAGAATTATGCCTGGTTTAATTTCTCATGCTCTCTCTTTAGGCCGGGACAGCTGGTTCTTCACAAGACACTCTTTTGATACCCCCCTGGCAACACCTCAGAGCTCGGGAATTTGTGTGACACCCTCCTCTTTGACGGGAAGCTGGGCTCACTGGGATAGCCAGGTGGGGGCTGTCAGTGTATGACTGAGCCCCCCCCCCCCCCAAGCTCCCAGACCTCTCCAGACTCCAGTAGGCTGTGCAAAAACTCCAGAAGACCTCATCAGTTCACACGCCTCTTACTTGGACTCAGCCAATCCGGCCACCTGGGACAGTTTTATCTTTGCTACGAATGGGCATTTAGTGGTGTTGCTGAGGATACAAGGAAAGGGTTTATTCTGCCCTAGAGCATGAACTTAGCCCTTAAAGGACTCAGCCCCAGGACTGCCCTTGCCCAAATATTGCCTGGTACTTTGCCCCCAACACCCCCATCTTTTGACTCGGTACAGAGAGCTGGCAGCTACTAACCCCCGGGGGCTGCTTTAGCCTGCTCAAGCCTCAGTTTCCCCATTTGTAGAGCGAAGGTAATAATTCCCAACACTCAGGGCACCTGTGATGATTAGCTGCTGTACTGTAGGAGGCAGCACTGTCTGGGAGGGAAGGTAGGCAGGTGCTTGGGGGTCACACCTGGGGGAGGAGGGTCAGAGTTGCTGCTCTCAGGCACTGGCTCGCCACGCCTGCCGGGCCCAGCCTGTCAGTGCCCACATCCCTTGGCCTCGTCCAGGCCTGGGAGCAGACCTTGCGCAGGAAGCTCCTGCTCCCAGCAGTGGGCCCAGCCAATCTCACGGAAACAGCTGCTGCTCCCGCCTGGCCCCCGACTCGAGTCCTGCACACGGGCCCTGCTCCGCCCTGTGGCCCCCACCTCCCACTCAAAGTCTGGTTCTCATGGCAAGGAGGACTCCCGTGGAAACCAGACCCCCTCCCCCCAGACCGCCCCACCAAATGGCTCAGGAGCCTGCACCTCTCTCTTCCCATGGCCGGATGCACCTTCAGTCCTGCGCACTTGGCCACTGTGTAGCAGTGGCACCCTTGAACAGGGCGTACCCTCGAACCCGGTGACCAGCTGCACTCAGGTCTGGGCGCACCCCAGAGGGTTCAGCAATGTCCTAAGGTCCACTCAGTTTCTGCCACTGGCCACGCTCCCTCTGCCGGGAGACAGACACCTTCCCCAGTGTGCCTTTCCTTGCTTGTGCTCCATATCACACACACACACATGCACACACTCACAGTCACACGCACAGTGACAACCACACCAAGTGACAGACCTGGACACCAGATCTACAGGTACCTGTCGGTCAGGTGGCAGACTTCAGCACACCCTACCAGGCCCTGTCAAGCACCCCACCTCCACATATACGCATACACCTATCTAGGGAAGAGCTGTGGAATGGTGGATTCTCGATCATACCCCGGAAAAACTCCTCTTCCATTCAGTGACATCCGTGGGCATATGCACACATCCCCACCTGTGCAGTAAAGCACACAACACACTCGTTCATGCACACACACACACACACACACACACACACACACACTCGGGAGTCCCGGCCCTCCTCACCAGGGACAGACCGCAGGAGCAGCTTTCCAACCCGCAATCCCGTAGTTAATTTAACCGTGACCTTCCTCAGAGGGGAAGCCTGACTCCCCAGGGGTCAGGGAACCTGTTGAGGTCACACAGCTCCCTGCAGCTAGCTGGTTCAAGGCCAGGCCCCCTGCTCCCAGGGCTGGCACACACATCTGGCTAGGTCCACAGGTGTGCAAGCTGCTGGTGACCGCAGACCAACGGGGTCCCAGGGGGCCCATCCCCAGTGTGCTCGAAATGCCCCTGCGGGAGAGCACGGGCCAGAGCAGGGTGGCAAAGCCTGCATGCTGGGGTGGGACCATCCTGAGTCATGGGTGTCTGTTTGACAGGTCCCTCCCCAGCACTGGGCCGGCTCTCAGGAGCAGCAGTTCCAAGGACCCAGTGACTGAGGGGCTTCTGCCTGGGACCCCCTGGAGGACCCGGGGTGGGCTCCCTCTTGTCTGCTGGGCCCCCTGGGGAGAGTCCAGCCACCTGGCCGGGAGGGAGGGTGGCGGGCTGCAGGCAACCCAGGACCGGGACCGGGGCAAAGGGCCCTTACCTCCGGGCTGCGAGGGGTGGAGGACGGCCAGCAGGAGCAGCAGGACTCCGGGCTGCGGGGCAGCCGCCGACAGACCCGCCATCTCGGGGAGAAATGCCCCAGCCTGCTCTCCACGCCTCGTTTTATCCCCAAAGCGTAATTGCTGCCTCGTCGCTGGGCTGCGAGGGAAGGAGGGCGGGCGGGC